AGCTGGAATAAATGTAATCTGAATAGTCTAATTGCTCTTCAGTTCTCAGCTGAGCTTATCACAGCTAGCCAACAAACGCAATCATTACATCAGGCCAGAGAATTTTAGGATACACTTTACCCTAAAAGTTCAATAACATCATTCACCAATATAACAAGTAGACTACAGACACAAGCACTCTGTGTTATAAGTCCCTATAGAGTGTTTCTACTAAACATAGTCGAAGGTATTATAAATGTTAAGAAGAAAAGATGGTCAGACCTCTATAGTTTATTAAGATGTTAATTCAATGTTTATTGAAATACTAATTAATTTTGTTTTTAATTAGCAGATACATACCACTCCCAGAAACTTGCTTTTCCAAATATATCATATGCCTCTCATCATGCGTCTCCCCACAAATCCTGCCTCACTTAAATCCTTAATCACTACTGCTACAGCGTTTTATTAACTCTATATATTATTTATAAACTTAAATGTAATATCAACAGTGATCAAATATTCTGCTCTGGCAAATTATTCCTTTAGTAAACACTCATATCCCAATTTGAATTCTGTATATGTTCACATCACAAGAAGAACATTAGTTTATATTTTGCTCCCTAGGGAAAGTATTGTATCCTTGGCTTGGTAGGAAAAAAAAAATAAATTTACCTGTTACACTCTGCATTATATGCATTCTTTTGAATACATACATAAGTAAGTTCAAATCTAGAACACTCACAAATGTAGCTGCATACCCAGACCGCTGGGAAGCAGGTGTGTTGCATCCCTGCACACAGACATTTGGGGCTAAATATTACAGGAGCAACCGTTTACCTTCCACTAAATACATTAAATAGTTTTCTGTGACCAGGTACAAAAGCCTCCAATCAAAATCATCCTTAAACAACAAGCTATACAGGCCAATTAAAACATAGCTGCATCCACCAGTGCTCTCAATCACATTTTTTAAAAGGAAAAACTTGAATTTTAAGAGATACTTGCTGTTTAAACAATGCCCCTGTGACAGGCAGGCTCTCCTCAGCGCTTTTAACATGGCGACCACCGGCTTCCCGCGCCTCATTCTCGCGCCTTTTGTGCTCCGCCGTGCCCGCCGGCACGCGCACCCGCCGGCGGGGGAGCGGGAGGAGCCAGGCGGGGCCCGCAGCCAAAGAGGCGCCTGGGCGCGGGGGAGCGTC